GTGATGTGCTCAAACTGCCTCAAACCGTAACTTTTAGATGACTGCAGAATTTAGTCATCGTTAGGATTCTGGACGATCCAGTAACTTGGGGGACGACTCCTTCGTTCTGGGCATCCATAAGACATTTTACTCGCTTAACATCTGGGCGTTTTGCAAGTTTGGACGACAATGTTCCTTTGTTTGTGGGCTACTTCCCCTTTGTTTGGGCTTTCATCTCGGATTCTCAATTAAACTTCGTTCTTTGGGCCATTTAATTTGGGATGCACTTTTAGTGTGTCAACACCTTTATTAAAATATTGTTGAGAATCATTTGATATTTGATTATTCCCAATCATAGAAGTTGACCGTAATTTCAAATTGTGTTTAGAGAAAGAAAAACTGTGTGCATTCTTTTATTATTGGGAAATTGGAACTAAGCCAAAAGAATGAGAATGATGCTGTAGAAAAAGGGGAAGATGAAGTACAATGAAAGAACAACTATTTACACGTTTTATTATTGCCTTGGACTCTAATGCTTTTCTTAAATAATGAGTTAGCATTTTAATCTAAAGGTTATAGTGATGTTACTATAGCACTTCAAAAAATGAAGATAATACAAAATGGTTTAATCATTTATGCAATTTAAATTCTGATCTTCCAAGCAATATCTCTCTGTGTATAATTTGATCAAACTGTGTTTCGCAGATTCGAGTCTGGAACAATAAGAGCAGGAAATCTTGTCGCATCATTATAAGTTCTCAAATGGTAATACTATTACTCTCTTTACTTAATCTAAATTAACGTCTAATTTTCTATTTCTTATTGATGCAGAAATGCTTCTCATAATGATAACACTATAACATTATGGAACTTGCAGATCCTTCAAAATTCAAGCTTCATCACGAGACATCTGTTGTTTAGACTACGATTTCGCTCTATTTGTCTATTGTAAAATTCAATGTTATATCTCCTTCATTCTTATTGTTTGATTTTCTTTCTAATGACATATACTTAAAGCTTAAGCTTTTATTTTTTTATTGCATAATTTTAGTACATCTCATCCAAATCATTGACTGTTAAATATCAAAAAAAGCTATATTATGCATTCAATATTTAAGAAAATAATATCAAAAAACGGAGATACATATATATATATATATATATATATATATATATATATTGGAACGCTAACATTACCTCCATAATCACATTGTCCGTGCATTGCACGAGCAATAGACTAGTACTAATATATAAATTTGATTCATCCTATTACTCCGTTGATCCCATAAAGATAGATTTGTTTATATTTTCACACAGATTTAAAAAATTAAAAATTAAATACTTTGAAGAATAAAAATTTTCTTACCTTTTTTTTCATATGCTCGTACATTAAATAATGATTTAAATATAAATAATTCATATTATTGATAACAAAGTACATTAAATATGCTATATTAAACAAAATCAAATAAACTCTCAATAAGAAAAGTAACTTATAATTTAGGATTGACAAAAGAAAAAAAAAGCAATTATATCCTTATGGAACAAAGAGAATATTATTTTTAGTCATCCAAGTTCCAAATTTTTATTTGATCGAAGCAAGGCCCACTAGTCAAGATTGATTTAAGTTTGGGTTTCATTATAATAACTTTATAATGAATGACTAACGTGTGAATAATAATAGCAAAACTATGATTATAATCAGCATTTGACTTCGATATTATAAATTATGAGTAACTTATAATGAACCCCAAACATTCAACGATCCATCCACTGATCCACCTCGACATTGGTGAATTCATGACTTTTTCCCAAGGAGATGAAAAATGTTAGAAACGCAAAATATGTATGTATTAAAAAATAAATATATTTTAAAAAGTTAAAAACATTGTGGGCCCGGCGGCTTCCGTTCCTTCACCCCGTCTGCACCTCGAAGTCAAGAGCAAGAGAAACTTTAATAGATAGGAAATGGCCGAATTGACCGGGATTTAATAAGTGGACGGTACTTCACTAGGGAAGATAAGGTCACGAGAGGCGGACAATTCTGTCCTTTTCTATAATGCAATTATTATTACGTAGAGGCGTATGAGACTGAAATTGACCCAGACACGAACAATAAAATATCAAACATACCATTTGTTATAATTGTTTTCGAACATCGACAATCGAATAATCCTTCGCGGATTTAATTTCTATTATTAAGAAGATGTCTGAAAATGCTTAAAGTAAAATTCCTACCGTTGGCCACCAATTTCCAACAATTTTCAGCCACTTTTCTTGATCAAATCTCTCATACGTGGACTCCAGTTGACCGAACATGTCAAGAAATTGATTTTGGAAATCTCCTCCAGACATGTGCTAAATAAATATTATTGACACTGATTAATCGTGATTCTTGACGTCTTTTCTAATAGTCAAATTAGTATTTGACTCTTTAAAGCTATGCTCGACTATAAATAGATCAAGCAAATCACTCGTCAAAACCTTGCGAATATTGCTGGTGTTCGTAAAGCGACATTTGATCAACTATAAATTAATTATAAGACGTTAATAATTTTCCATCACACCCACCTCGTCGGGCCATCCTTGCGAAGAATATTGTGTAAGGTTAGCTGTAAAACTATATATTTTTCTCTTTGTATTAGGTATGCATTCCCTTTTTATTCTTCCAAGTGGACTTAAATTTTGTCTTTATCAACAACCAATACACTTTAATTGACAAATTATACAGCCATTTTATGAAATAATTGACTATCACATGCACTTTCTTTCGTTTTTTATTACGATTACACTCAGTTTTGTGTTTCACAATAAAGTATCTTTAATCGAGTTTAAAGCTTTTTAGAAAAAAATTGACAAGCCTTTCGAGAGAAGACGATAAACAGTTGAGCCATGTAGACATAATCGAAAATATTTTAATTATTCTTTTTCTCTAATTTTGTTCATAGCAATTCAGTCTAATTTTATTATGCGAAGATATCAAATTTTTTATTGAATTTTCTAATGAAAGAAACAATCATGAAACGAAATCTCATTACATTTTACAATAATCATCAAACAATTATTACAGAATTGTGAATATGCTTTTGGATACCATGAATCTGTTTGCAGTTTTTATCTGCAAAATGTAAAATTCATCTTCAATCATACACTGACACTACAACTCTGTGAAAGTTGATACTTCACTGTACTTCCGATCCATATTCCGGTGTTCTTGTTGTTTCCGAGCGGTATATACGCCGGACAGCTGACGTGGAGATGGTATCGGCCAGTGACTAACGACCCAACTTTCCATTTCACGCGGCTATCAATTTTGAAGACCATCTGTATGCCCCCATTAATCTGGTCCTGGCTCAGGGCCAAGCCATTGAACGGCGCCACCGGCACGTTATCTCCACGGACAAAAGGGGACCATAGGTTCACGTCCTTGTGGCCTTGGTACACCGGTGGGATGGCCGTGAAAGAAGTGATTTGCTGGTGGTGATAGGTGGCGTAGACATCCAATTTGTCGTAGTAAATGCCGATATTGTCGTTGGGGTTCCGGGAGTTGATGGTCACCTGTATGGTGGTGGAGATGATGTTCGGGGTGGCAGCCGACACGTTGAGGTTGAAGACGGTGGCATCTTGGAGGACGAAACGTGGTTTCTTGGGGTGGAGAATAGCGAACACGAGGAGAATGATCACTAGGAGGATGAAGTTGAAGATGAGAAGCCCGTAGATACACCGCCGGATGAGCTTTCGCCTCTTGCTTTTGTGGCTGCTAGACTTTTCTGCCATGCTTCCGACGGTGGTAAGTGGGGGAGCTTTTATTGGGTGGCTGGGGAGGTTTTTCTAGGAGAATGTGGAGAGGATGTGGATTGGGTACCTTTATAGGCTGAATTGTGTTTAATAGGGTTAATTCCACAAATGGTCACTGAAATTATCTGAAAATTTCAAAACTGTCACTGAAGTTTCGAAGTTTCAGAAACGGTTACTAAACTTTGAAATTTCTTTCAAAACGGTCACTGAATTTTCAGATTTTTTGGCCAAGTTTGAGGCACTTTTTCGGCAACTTCCGACCACCAAACTCGCCGATTTAGGATACCCTTGGAAAGCCCACGATGTCCTCTTCAATTAACACCAAAAATCTCCCCAAAACTCCAAGTGATTCGGTCGGAATAAAGCCACGAAGTCGGCAACCGAAAATTGTGAAAATCTGCTCAGATTTTCAGATTTTTTGGGCAAATTTGAGGCAATTTTTCGGCAACTTCCGACCACCAAAACCTTCGATTTCGGATACCGTTGGAAAACCTACAATGTCCTCTTCAATTACCATTAAAAATCTCCTCAAAACTCCAAGTGATTTGGCCGGAATAAACCCACGAAGTCA